CTGTTGTATCTGAAACCAGTTTCCATATCAAATTCACGCAAAGTTGAAGCATTCAATTTTTCAATTTTTATTATCTATCCATTCTCTTGTTTCTTGTACAGTGGAAATGAAGTAGCATAAAATTAATCAGCTTCCACTGTTTATACCTGTCTAGCTACTAATAAGTAGCATTCACTGCAGTCCTGTATACATCAGGAGGCACGGTAGCATCTTCGGTGTAAAATTAATGATTTGTGTGTGTGTGTGTGTGTGTGTGTGTGTGTGTGTGTGTGTGTATGATTCATACTTACAGTATATATGTACAATTACACGTACATACAAATCGATCAAAATTGATTGATTCATAATTCAATAAACGTTTATCTACGTAGAATAGAAATAAAAGAACGACTTTAATCCTGTTCGAGCGACGCAGAGGAGAAAGTCCATATTACATTCTCGAAATACACGGAATCTGGTATTCTTTTTACGGTAGGATGAAGGAATGATAGATAGTATCGTGAAATTTCCAGTTATCAGATACGTGCAAGTTTGTCTCATACGTGTGCAACTCTGGCTCTGGTACCTACGCCGACGCGCAGGATTGATGAGCTTCGTAGTTGGATATTGTGCCCGAAATAAGAGATACCGAAAGCTGTCACTCAGCTTGGGTGAAGTCGCGTATACGCGCTGTGTGCTTGCTTGCCTGCCTGCTTGCTTACTTCTTCGATTAGAGACCGCCGACGTTTGCATTGTTCATGAGTATAATTCTGGAAACGATTTGGTTGTGCGCGTTAGGTGTAACCGTTTCACGGGTCATCGCGACTGATATTGATCCTTCGATCTCGGATGGGATCGTTACGTTTATTTTCAGGAAAAGCCCTGATGCCTCTATCAATGGTAATACGCGAACGTGCGAGGATTCGGAACTCGTTTTCCACTATCGTTTCCTCGCTGTACCTGTTCTCCTCTGTACGTTCCTCTGTTTATCTCTCTTGCCCTTTTCGCGCGTTCGAATCTCCCCATCTGGATTTACATAGATCTCGGGTCGGACTGAAGATTACACGTTCAAATACGTCGGACTTTGCCAGTCTGCGTATGAGGGCAAACCAAAAATTCACATGCTCTCAAATATAGTTTTTGAGTACAACGCTCGACTTAAATAGAATATGTTATAACAGTATATATACGAATTATATTAAAGAATTAGAAATAGGAAAAGGAGAAAAAGGACTCGCGACTGATTTTAGACATATGATTTTAGACTTGATCTTAAAAGAAAACGGTAGAAAATAGGTAAAGAAAAATTATAGATAAAAATGAAAGATCATGGGATGAGTTTTCATATTGGAGTCGAAATCGATATAGACAAATCTAATTTTATATATTTCTCATAAAATTTGACTATCGTATTGACGTATCCTTAAATACTGTCCTTTATTCGATTCCTATTCCAGGTATAAATATTACGAACTACGATTTATTAACAACTGCAATATTTTTTTTATATTTAGAGCGTATGCATTTTGGTAAAAATAATTAATTATAATTTTCTTACGAATCTTTAAAAAAAGGTTCTATCGATTTACATGAAGTTTTTCAGGATATATAGCAAAGTTCAAAAGAAAGCATATTATTTGTAAGCAACATCATTTTGTTGTACAAAGTTGAATGCAGTCATCGTGAAGGAGAAATTTAAGTTCAATTAAAATTACTCAATTAAAATTTTATATTTAAGTGATATTACGCTGTACACTGCATATTTTAAGTAATTTTGTCGACTTATGATATATTTTGTATCTGTTTGCAACCGGTATAATTATAGCTTCGATTACCGAGATATTATTGATTCATAACATCTTTGCGTGCTGATCTTTATTTTCCATTTATTCGCGGTAACCAGAAATCAGATTAGATTGCTGTTTAAGGGAGGGAGTGTGCTCATTATTTTTCATTTTAGTTCTTCGTGAATCAGGTTATATTAACACATGATTTATAACTTCAATTTAGTCTTTAGCGGTTTGCGATGCACTTGAAAGATTACTTTATGAAATATGAAAGTTAAGCACTTCCACAAAAAAATAAAGTATTGTAATTGTATTTAAATAATATTAAATATATTTTAATTTCTTTTATATGTTTCATAAAGTCGTTGTAAAATAACCGTTAATTGACTTATTATTACATAAATTAGCCTCTCGTTTATAATATGTCAATATACCGCTGAGATGTATTTAATTAATAATTCTTATAAAAGGATATTGCTTATATTTATGTTTGAGTAATTGCAAAACTTATAAATTAAACATTAACTAGATAAATCTTAAACGGTATATTATATTACATATATATACATATATCCTCGTAAGCAAGATATTTCGGCAACTACGTTAGCCGAACGTTGTAACTGGGATGTATATACATGTATTACTTTTAATTAAATATCACTTTAGTAAAATTTTTATTTAATTATCACATATTAATTGTTGAAAAACAAGATAATACTAATTAATATATGATTAATTTATAGACTTTATTATATAAATAATAAGATGTAGAAAATTTAAATGCAAAAATTTAATTTGTGTTAATCATACTTTTACTGCATAAAAAATTGACTTCAATCTAATTAAATGAGGAATATTCTACTTTGATTTCAAATTTATTGAGAAAATTCTGCAATTACTTATAGATCTGTGACTTTTATTATTTCCTGATAATTACATTGATGAAATAATTTAGTTGTGCGTGTTATCACATAACTAAAAAGTTAATTCCAATTTTAAACGGATTGTAAATACATTATTTATTAATAAAGGATAGATTAGAATTAGGCCCACAGAAGAAATTAGAACTTCGCCGTATTACGATTTCGTGATTACATTTAAAAAATTTATAATCGATTTTTAACATAAGAGAGAGAGAGAGAGAGAGAGAGAGAGAGAGTAATACATTACTTTATTAATTTAATCTATATCTGTAACAACAATTATAAACATGATTGTCGTTGAGATATTGAATATTTGAAATATTTTACCAAAAAATTTTGAATCATATCTATCTATTAAATATACTTTTCTTTTATCCACTTTTTCAATATTTTAAATATCTACGAATAGATAAATAACGATTTTTAATTATAAGATTATAATGTGATTTATTCTACGGGAATTTATTTACTACAATAACAATTACATTTTGTCTGTTAGACAAGCGAGATTAAGATACTGTTTTACGTGGTATTCTTAAATGAGCAGCGGTGTCAGGCGATGCATGAGGGCACTCATTGCACTGACGCATGACGTACGCAATGTCTCTGATTAAAGGGTCTGTATTGTAAACGACCGCTTATCGCGGATTATGAATCAGTTCGCAATAATTGGGCAGATCTCTCTTCGACGAATATATGACGAATAAGATGTATGTATATGTATATATATATATTCATATATATACATACATCTTGTACGATGAAACTTATACCAAGCTTAATGAAGCTTAAACCATGAATATGCGCTCGCAAATGGACTTCGGTATGTATTTACTGTAGCTTATTATCGAAAAAAGATGTAGTCATACACAATTATAAGGTACAGCAATTAGCAAAGAGATTTTTTTTTTAAGAAAAGCAATATACATTTGGAAATCGAACGATATTGTATTTCTGATTATGTGTCAACCATTTCAATGCACATCTGCTATTTCAAATCAGAATATTTCATTTTCAAGTTGCAACAGTGTAGTTATTCGATGGTATATTTTTGAGATTATTAAATTTGCATAGAGCAGCAGAAAAATAGGATTTCAAATTGCGGTAGCGCCAATATGACACAGCGAGCGTGTAAGAAAAAAAAGATATAATCGGATTACTTTAAAAGCTGCTGTTCGGAAATATAAGAGAACGTAATGAATAATATAAGAAAGTACCATAAAAGAGAGTATGATAAAGGAAGGAAAAATAAGAGCATGAGAGATTTGTGAACGACTGGATGTGGTGTAAAACTATTAACAATTCATTTACCACGTCTCTCTCTCCGGATTTCGAGCTGTTTTCCGAAAATCCGATAGAAACAAGTATTTGGCGCGAAATTGAATATGCAAATGTCGCATGGGACAACATCGATTCTGTTTAGGTGAGAGAAATACTTGAGTACACATTAAATTCCGGACTATAACAGTGTGATGATGCACGTACCATGCTATAAACTCTTGCTAACTTATTTCGTATCATCACGCGTAGTTTCGTAAGTACACTACTTCGTCTCGAAAATTTTCTTTGAAGTAGTAATTGGCTTGCTTATTAATGGCCTCTTAGAAGTTTCTAAGCTTGATGAGCGGGCCGTCTATAAAGCTGAGCTTAATGAAAGGAATTTTGTTATATATTGTACAAACAATCTTGTCACTCTTACAATAACGTTTACTTCATTACTGTAATAAATTTCACCGCAAAATATTTTAAAAGCTGATGTAAGAAAACCAGTAAAAATCACTACATCTGTTACATAATCCTTATTATATGCGTTATTATAAAATATTATTATATCACTGAAATTATTTTCCGACGAAATATAAAGGGAGATGAATTTGTTCGTTCTTTTGTATTTTGAATCTTCGGAATTATTATGTAGAAACGACTGCTTCAACTGCTTGAATCTTTACAGCTGACTTCTAATAAGAATTACTTGATAAACGTTTAATTGCACTTCAAATTTTATTGCAGCGCAACGATATAACGGCGTGCAATGATTTCAAATGACTTTTCTTTTTTAAAATCGAGAACACACAAGAACATTGTAGAATTATAAAGTGCCAGGCTTAGTCCTTGCTTGACCCGCTTACGTTAACTCGCGCTATTCACTGCCGAGTTTCTCGAGTACTTTGCAAACTTCGGCGCGTACATAGGTGGGCTATAAGTATAAGTACTAGTAAGTAAGTAAGTAAGAGTATGTATACCGTCGTTTATACGTAGAGCATTCGCGCGATAGCGTGATACTTAAGTCGGGGACGTTCACGTGTTACAGATTTACCCAGGTTTGGCAAACCGTTGAACAATCTCACAGTCTCGGTGGGTCGCGAAGCCATTTTCACCTGCATCGTCGAGGATCTCGGACCATACAAGGTGAGACACAACATCATAGTCCCGGCCATCCTATTTCCACGCGCGGTTGCAGCTGCCGTGCTGCTATTGCAATTCCACGCCACGTTACGCGCACTGATGTCTCCCTGTATGATTGGGACTGGTTTTGATAAGTGACATTAGACCGTGCAAATTTCATTATACACTCGTGACAAATTATAAAACAGTATTATCTGCTAATGGAAACAATCCCCTTTTTTATTCAAAAATATAATAAGATCGTTGAAAACTTTTATCGTGTCAATTTTATAATAACTCTATCACGAATTCATGTTAACTTTTTATTTCAAGTTTTTATTAATTTCACTTTCACAAAAAAGGAAATAATTTATAAATTCATTTCCAATATATTTTATGCAATTCGTGATTGATGTGAATTTAATAGGAGCGGTTTATATTTTGCTATTTGGATATTTTCCGACTCTGATATCTAAATACAAGATGAAAATCAGATAGTTTCTAGCGAGAGTTTCCAGTAAGTTTATTATGCAAATACAGATCTTTATCTCTAAATTACGAAATCACGTCGTTTACTCTTACGCCAACACATAGATACATGCTGTAATTTGCGATTTAGAAAATTGGTACTAAGACGCTTTGAGCGGCGCGGCGCGTCGTCATTACTGAACTACGTCGGCAAAGTTCTACAGGGATGGGGAAGTTAACGAACAGGACAAATAAATTCAAAGCGAAGGATTGGAGTACGAGGATCACAGTGCGTATCTGGGCAACTCCATTTAAGTAGAAATAAAACCCCGCGGGGTGTGAGTTCAGCAGTTTGTTAAGCGGCTCCTCTCTCTCATCCGTCGCCTTCTGGTCGATTCGTTTCCCTGTCGTTTGTCTGTCTCTCCTCTCTCGTTTTCTACTTGTTTCCCATCTCTCCTCTCAGCGAGAGATCGGGCGTTTCTCGTGGAAATACTCTTTTCGATTCTCTTTTGCTCTTTCACCAGGCCGCGCTCAAACCACGCACGGAGAAGTTATAGTTTTATAGATAGCGCCGACCTCGCGACCGTGGAAATGTTTTCGCGATAAAAATGCGCAAAATTGTTTTATGGCATCGCAGGAATACATGTGTGCGTATAAATGCGTGTATATATGTATATATAGGCGTTCGTTTGCGCACGTTCGAACGGAATCGATGCATTATCCTTACGCGGTTGGTCAACGGCACCTCTGCGGAAATGAAAACGGCGAGTCACGTTGGCCGCCGCGATACTCGTGAAAAGCGTTCGGTAAAAATAATAAAAAGCGCATGCCACTTTGCTCGGACGGGACACAAAGGGGCGCGCTTTCGATAATCGATGCCGACGACGGTCGCCACGGAATTAACGCTTTTTAGCGTAACTCGTTTTAGCACATGGCAGTCGCATACGGCGCGGCTATAACCGATATCGCGTGATTGGTTTTTTGTACCGACGGTATCGCAATCCTTTCGCATCGCTAATAATAAGTTATTAATTTCCTCTGATAGGACACGCGATTAAGTGAAGCGCGCTCGTAGTATTGTCATTTCGACAGAGAGAGAGAGAGAGAGAGAGAGAGAGAGAGAGAGAGAGAGAGAGAGAGAGAGAGAGAAACGTAAATATATCTTCAAACAGTAAAGACGCGAAGAGAACGTACGTTAATGCAACGACGTTGCTGACATCGAGTAGTTTATTTATATTTCAAGCTGCAACATGAGTAATGGTGAATTTTATGTACAGTGACTCCTGAGAGAGGGAAGAAGCACCTCAGATATTCTCTGATGCTTTGAAATAATAAAGCGTCTTATTACGACTCGCAAGGTGTTAGAATTTGCGCCGTGTTATGTAGTATATGATGGCACGAATTCTGCTAATTAGCAACAAACATGCCATTTATACGTTACGTCTTATATCTTTTTGCATTATTGTCATCCTCCAGTTATTGTTATTTATGCACTAATTTATGCACGTTCCCAATATCAGCTGAATAAATTTTAGAAATTAAAGTTCCGGCAATATTTTATTCCTGAAATATAAGATAAAGAAGAATATAAAGAAAAAATATAAATAATTAAAATATTTTATAAATATTAACATTATATAAATATTAACGTTATATTTATTGATACGTTAAATTAATATATTTAATTAATTGTTGAAATATAAAAAATTTTCTAATTTTTAACAACACATAAATAAGTATTATTTCTAGAGAACAATTGGAAAATAAATATTTTAAGAAGTGTATCAAAATTTATTTTAGAAATAATGAAATTTACATAAAATTGCAAAGTAAAAATAAAATCTTGACGTGAACGTACTATATATATGTCGCCTAGTTGATTATAATTAAAAAATCGTTGCAAACTTTTTATTCAAACTCGATGTTTCAGAATTAATCATGCACACAGCTCGTCAGTGATCCATTATGATAAATTTTGCTTATTATGCAGCCTATGTAGTATAAGTTACTGCTAATTTTTACTTTTTATTTAAACAGTATTAATTTATACAAAATTTTAGACGTAAAAAATCTCAATTAATATATCGAATATTCAGGAAAATATATCTAGTGCTTAGAAATACTTTTAAACAAATTTTTATTGAAGAAAAGTTATATAAATTTTATAAAAGGTATTCTGATGTGATATCTTGCAATTGGTTACGTATATATACTTTTATAATATAATTTTTATTATAATTTATTAAATTATAATTTTATTATACGAGTAATTTCAAAATATTAAGAAATTAGAAAATTAATTGGTTTATTAATAAACATATTTAAAATTAAGTTAACAAAATAAACTTAATTATCTTTTTTCCGTAAGAAATAATATATTTTTTCCAAAATCTTATCGCAAAAGAAGAACTTCAATGTGCTTCCAGCTATAATATTTTCATTTCTACCACGCCTTATGAAGTGCGGAAATAAGCGTGCTTTAGGAATAAAACGATTTATGTATTATCCCGACTCTCCGGCAAATTTTAAAATTTTATTAAAGGACCGAAATTACTTCCTGCGGAAGTGTAACCAGTAAGGAAAGGAGGCACCCCAGAAAAGTATTTTTACGGTCCTAAACCTAATTGAAGCTTAGTCCTTAAAACTCGTTGGATTTCGTGGAGATTAGCGCTCGTATATATATATATATATATATATGCGATATAATATACGAAATGGCATTTGAACTGAACAACAACTGTATCTAAAATACGAAAATTAATGACTCATTTGTATCTTGAACAGATTTTTAAAAATTGTCAACTTCTAAAAGTTATATTCTGTTGATATTAATAAAAAAAAAGTTAATATTATTATGTCGAGGCAATTTGTGTATTTTGCAACTTTCTATAATTGCCTCGTTGCATAACTTTTACTTCAACTTTTGTTTGTATCTATTGGCAAAACGTCTATGTTATATTGTGAATGTTTGCAACTGCCCCATCAGATTACGAGTTTGATCTCGCAAGAGCCAACCGAGGCTGCCAAATGGTTATACACCATCATGTGCCATCTATTGCTACACTGCGAACAAATTTGATTTTCCAGACAAAATTTTATTTCCTTCGAAATTAGATGTTGGAAATAAGCATAATTTTCTGTGGAGCCAGTATTTACATCAAATAAAATTACACATTTATAATAACTAATATAATAAAATATACGAATTACGTAGAATTAATAGAAAATATGTATATACGATTCGATTTGAAAAGTCTTTCAAAATTTTGTACTTCGATAAAAAATGTATAATATCCTTAATTTCCGCTTTTCATTACAATAAGACATTGAACTTGCGATCTTATACGGACTGTTTCGCGCGTCAAGTAATGCAACGTTTATGACTAATATTCTCTCGAGAGAGCAAACTCGAAATCATTACGGCCCGTTGCAAAGGTATTGTGTACTTCCTTGCTGTAGCAATCGGTAAATTGCGCATCCATAAGAGGCACGCTAACGCGGAATATTCCACAATCCCTTGACGATCCTTGATTACTCGCTAGTCCTTACCGACATGACGCGCGATTTCCTGTATATATCTGACGTCGGCTCTAATATGACGGATTTTGGATCAAGGTGCTTAACATTTAGAGAATGCTGACGTCTCTCTCACGGTCAATAGTTGGAAAGAGAAAGCCGATGCTGATACGAACACGGGAGAGAGGAACCATGTTCATGCTTTCCTCTGTGATTGTTCGTGCAAACAAACCGCAGTATTAATTATTCTTGATACCGGCGGTTGCATTGAACGGGGCAGCCTAGGCCGGATATCCTACTAAGAAGCCGATGTTGCAGGAGTTACGATCTTGTCGATGATAATATCTGAATCCCGAGGGAGGATACGACGTTACACGAGTCGGCTGTGATTTCCGCTCGAGAGTAACGCATCAATGGTCAGGGTCGCCGATTCTATTTCGATCCTTTCACCTATTACCAGCTCTATTTTCTCCGATGCACATGTACAAACATGAACTTTTACCTCGTCCGCTCATTCTTCACACTTCGTGCATGCACCTCTTTCGATGATTCAATGTAGTCATTGTCGCTTTTTTGCGATAAGTTTTTGCGACACTGAATGAGTAAATTTGCAGTAAACTTATTTGCGCAAGTTAGAAGTCTTATATGGCGAATAGCTAGTGTGATAGTCCAATGATGATTTAATCCCACGCGAGCGGAATAAGCGAGAATGACCGATACAGAATTCTAGTTAGGTTTAATTACCTCTCTCTTACTTGCTATTTTTCCTTGCTTTTCAAGCTTACCGCATCACACAACGATTCTGCATTCCTTCAGTTTGATACTCTCTGCTGCACGAAGGCAGGTCACTGACTATTAATATCGCGAGAGCACTATAATTGTTTCAGCCAAATACGTGAAATTCGCGGAGTGAGATTCTGAGATGCTCTTTGCGTTACATGCACGTTGTGTGTTACGCCATTGATCGAGGAAACCATTATATTTGGACTGGATTATAAGTGGGCGAGATCGGAAACGCGTTTCCTTCCGCTTACGGATAC